GGGGATCAGAGCAGAGGGTTTCTGAGCAGCTTCTATCAGGAGCTTAGAACTGCCCGAGGAGAATGTTATCCTCTGAAAAGAGGCACTCAGGTTGTTGTGGGCGACCCGCGAATGACGACCACCAGTCAGCCAAATTGGAATTCAGAAAGCCTTTATTACGAACTCAATTCCGGGCTAGTGTCTCAACTGACACAGCAGCGAGCAACGAGAGCCCCGACCCACTCTAAGCATGCTACTTTTATCCCTGTCTTAGGGATGCCTGGCAGATTATGATTGGCTAAAGCACATGTGTCAAACACAAGGCCCGCGGGCCAAATCCGTCCCGCCAGGCCTTGCAATGTGGCCCGCACCGCGCTGTCATCACTGCACTCCGCTGCGTTTCCATCACAATGACAGTTTATGACGGTTCAGTAAACCATTCGGCCCGCGATTTAGGCTGGATTTTAGAGTTTGGCCCCTTCTCTAATTGAGTTTGACACCCCTAGGCTAAAGTTTTAACAAAGAAAGGTCAGTTATAAGTTATAGAAAAAGTCCACTAGTACAGTAACATTTAAAGTTTATACAACACTGGGGTGGGGGGTTATCGACCCCACAACAAGGTCTCTGGGCAGAGCTGCTTTCTTGCTCCATGCCTGGCCAGAAACACCCAGACTCTTAGGAGGAGGAAAGGGTCCTTTGGGGGGGGGGGGGGGCCCTCTGCTGCTCAGCTGCTGGGACAGGGCCACCACCCATAGGATCTCTAGGGACCCAGTGGAGGCCAGGGCCATCAGGTGACCAGATGTCTTCATTCCTAGGTTTTCCCATCTTTAAAATGGGTGAGTAGTTGCACCTATTTCATAGGGTTTTGTGAAAATTCCATTATTTTTTAAAAATAGATCTTTATTGTTCGTATTATTATAGATCTTTCTCTCCCCGCCCCATATATTTCCCCCTGCCCCCACCCCATGCCTTTACCCTTGCCATTGTCCTCATCCATAGGTGTATGATTTCTGTTCAATCTCTTCCCATATCCCTCACACCACCTTCCCCCCAAGAATTGTCAGTCCACTCCCTTTCTGTGCCCCTGATTCTATTCTATTCACCATTTTATTCACTTGATTTTTAGATTCACTTGTTGATAGATATATATTTGTTCTCATTTTGTTGCTCATAATTTTTATCTTTACCTTTTTCTTCTTCTTCCTCTTCTTAAAGAATACCATTCAGCATTTCATGTAATCCTGGTTTGGTGGTGATGAACTCCTTTAGCTTTTTCTTGTCTGTGAAGCTCTTTATCTGACCTTCCATTCTAAATGATAGTTTTGCTGGGTAGAGTAATCTTGGTTGTAGGTTCTTGCTGTTCATCACTTTGAATATTTCTTGCCACTCCCTTCTGGCCTGCATAGTTTATATTGAGAAATCAGCTGACAGTTGAATAGGTACTCCCTTGTAGGTAACTAACTTTTTGTTTTACTTCTTTCAATATTCTCTCTTTGTCTTTTGCCCTTGGCATTTTAATTATTATGTGTCTTGATGTGGTCCTCTTTGGATTCCTCTTGTTTGCTATTCTCGGTGCTTTCTGGACTTGTAAGTTTATTTCTTTCACCAGGTAGGGAAAATTTTCTGTCATTATTTCTTCTAATAAGTTTTCAATAATTTGCTCTCTCTCTCTTCTTCTGGCACCCCCATAATTTGGATGCTGTTATGCTTGAAGTTGTCCCAGAGGCTCTTTACACTATCTTCATATTTTTGGATTCTTTTTGTTTTTTGCTTCTTCATATTTCAAATCTTTGGTTTGATTCTTGGAGTCCTTTGGTTTACTGTTGAATTTCTGTATATTATTCTTTATTTCAGACAATGTATGCTTAATTTTGACTGGTCCTTTTTCTTTTCTTTTCTTTTCTTTTTTTGCATTCTCATTAAGATTCTTAAAGGTCTCACTAAGTTCCTTGGAGGTTTCTAGAAGATTCTTGAGTAACCTTATAACTATGGTTTTGAACTCTATATCCAGTAGTTTACTTTCCTCCATTTCTGTCATTCATGACATGTTTCTTTGTCTCCACATTTTGGTGCTTCCCTGTGTTGATAGAGTGGCTTTGTGTGGTAGATGACCTATAAGGGACAGTGGCTCAGCCTCCCCAATCACTTGAGGTGGACACTCTTGGAACATCCATTTGTGGGCTGAGTGCACAGTCTTGTAGTTAAGTCTTGATTGCTGTTGGTACCCTGGGAGGAATTGTCCTCAAGGCCAATTAGCTGTGAGGACCCACTGTGTCTATAATGGAAGAACTGCTGTGCTGGAGACACCCTTATGGGGCCAAACTTGCTTCAGCGGGGCTTTGGCGCTCACTGAGTCTGCCTCTTGAGTGTGTCACTTATGGATGTAAGGAGTTGAAATCTGGTGTTGTCTCACACAGTGACCACTAGGTACACTGACTCCTGAATCTCCAAGAATGTGCAAGTCAATGAGAGAGACTAGCATGAACCTCTGTCAGCTACTGTCTGAGGAAACCCAGTAGGAGCTATAGCAAGATCTGCAAATTTCTCCTCTTTGCTTAGGGTTTGGAAGTTTTGGACCTGACCCAGCTGCAGTTTGTTAGGTTAAGCTGCAATAGGGCAGGCCATTCATATGCAAAAGCTGCTGCACATAGTTTAGGTGGGTTTGTAAATTGCGTGTGGCAAACAGTGATGGCTGCCAGTCAGCCCTCTCTGTGTCTCCACACCCTGCGCCCCAGAGCAGTAAACAATGATTCCTACACACCTCTGCAAGAAAGCCACCCTTACTTTCTGACCCGATGGCAGATAGTCCCGCTTCTCCTGGTAGGAGTCTGGGTCCCCATAAACTCGCCAGAAACTGGAGTTTAGAGCAGTTAGGAGCTTATGTCTTCTTTTGGATTGAAAAAAAAACACTGCACCCAGCTACCAACTCTCTCTGCACATGCCTCCATACCTCTGCTTTTCCGCACCTGTGCACGTCATTCTTGGTCTCAATGCTCTTTTCTCTTTCCTTTTAGTTGTAGAAGGAAACTCAGCCAGCTTTCCCATGGTTCTGGGTGACAGACGTTTTGTCTTTTAGTTGTAGTTTTGGTGTGGTTGTGAGAGGCAGCACGTACAGGTGTAAACCTTATGTTGCCATCTTGGTTTGACAATTCCATTATTTACCCCCATGTACAATCTTAGAAATGATGCAGAGTATGCCTTTGCTACCTGCAAGCTGGTCATTTTACTTTTTTACTTTTTTAGGAACCTGTATATCAATAGTCATCACTCCTACTCTAGTAACCTCTTAAGACTGTAAGAACAAACAGGAGGATCATGCTAGTCTCTCTCATTGTCCTCACCAGCCTACACTGGAACCATCTCAGTGGGAACACAGCCTGTCCTTATATACCCAGAAGGCTGTCTCTGGGCACACAGAGTTGTCTTCAAAACATGCTTGTAGAATTTAAATGTAGATGGGGCTTCATTTGTGTTTTTTTTTAATGAGGATATTTATTAGATTTACAATGTGCTCATTCACACATTTTTGAGTGCTTGGTTTGTGATTGTCCTCCTAACAATGAATGAAATGAATTGGACACAGTCCCTGCCCCTGAAAGAGTGAGAATGGAAAGTGGATCCATTTCTTCAAAAGTTGGAATACAGTTTTAAACAATGTGGACAGGCAGGAGAGGAGAACCCTGCTGGAGGAATGGTTGTCAGGCAACACCATCTCTATATCAGTTATTGCTGCATAACAACTATCCCACACTTAGTGGCATAAAGCAGTCTGCATTTATTATTTCTCATGAGTACATAGGCCAGATGGATGATTCTGTGATCTGGACCAGGCTCAGCTGATCTTGACAGGATTCATTCACGAGTCTCCTATCAGCTATCAGGTTGGCTGAGGACTACCTGACCTCTAATGACCTCATCCCCTTGGCTAGTGGTTGTCTCTCATTCTCTGGCAGTCCATCCTACACTTACTACAGTGGGAGCAGCAAGGTTTCAGGAGGGTGGAAGTATGCAAGGTCTAATTCAAGAATAGGCACATCCTCACATCTTCATTCTGTTGGCCAAAGCAAGTCACCAATGTGTTGGAAACTGCTGCAGAGTCACATTACCAAGGTTGTACAGGGGGAAGAGTGAAGGATGTGGCCATTTTTGAAACTTCCCACAATCGCCCAGTTCTCCTTGCAGTACATGGAGCAGAAAGCAATTCCAGGACCGTGCTGTTGCACATTTAGGATGTTATAAATAATGTTGCAGTAAACACTCTATACATAAACTTTTGTTCAGAGTTCTGATTATTTCCCTGGGATACATTTCTAGAAGTAGATTTATTGAGTCAAAGGAGAACATTTTAAAAGCACGAAGTGTGTATTTTGAAATTACCTCTTTGCAAGGTTGTAGTAATTTGCCCTCCTGCCAGCCCATCTTATGCTACCCTTGACAAAATGGGAATAAGTTCTTATTTAAAATGTGGTATCTCATTGCTACTTTATTTATTTAAGAGCCTATGACGTTGAATGCTTTTTAATAATGTCTGTTTCTTCTTGCATGCACAGCATCTTTGGGTCCTTTGCAGCAGGGTAGATTTCATTAATCCCCAATTACAAAGGAGGAGGAAATGGAGGCTCAGAGAGGTTAAGTGAATTATTCAAGGCAGCCCAGCCAGCTGGAAGCAGAACCAAGCTTTAGAAATCAGCTATCTTGCTCCTTCACTTACTTATCTCTGCTCTCTGTATTGCTGGACAGAAAGGTGGACTCCTGGAACATTGACGAGGACATGCTTAGGAAAATATCAGAGAGTGGATGAGGGGAATTAGTATCCTGGCTTAGCAAACCGGAGGGCTTCCTGGCCAGGGCTCCCCTGTGAGTTGGGAATGTGGGTGTGTGACAGGCCTGACACAGTGGCCACAGCTGCATCGTGAACAGAGGCTTGGGTGAGACCTGTAGATCTCAACCCTCTTTTCCTTCATGGTCTCACCCCTACCCTCCTGACCCTCCTCCCCTGCCACTCTGCTCTCTCTTCCCAGCTGGCCCGCTACACCAAGGAAGGCTTTCTGCACTTGGGAGCCCTGGGGACCACCACACTCCTCCCTGACACCCGCTGCTTGGTAGACAACTCCAAGAGTCGGTTGCCCCAGCTGCTTGACTGCGACAAGGTCAAGAGCAGCCTGTACAAGAGGTGGAACTTCATCCAGGTGAGTGTTCCATGGACAGGGCTGGCATTCCAGAGCAGCTGAGGGCAATCCGGCTTCCCTAGCAGGGGTCCTCAAACTTTAAAGTGGGGGCCAGATCACGGTCCCTCAGAGAGCTGGAGGGCCGGACTATATGAACTACTAATTCCTACTGTAACACCTCGGCTGCGCTCACTGCCCAAAAAACCTGGCGGGCCGAATCAGACTCCTCTACGGGCCGCATGTGGCCTGCAGGCCGTAGTTTGAAGACGCCTGCCTAAGAGCATCCAGGTCTCCCAGCCCTGGGCCAGGTGCCTGAACCCAGAGTACATTTGGGAGGAATCAATCAAAGACAGCCTTCCGGATCTCTGCAGCAGTGATAGGCTGGGTTGGCTCTGCTACATCTTGGGAAGAGGTTGTGGGGGTCATTTTCCTGAAATCAGCTAAGTACCTATAGCCAGTAAGGTTAAGAAAATCAGACCTGGAATATCCCTGGAAATTCCTCCTTCTGACACCATTTCCCATTGATCCTCATCACCTGCCTCAGCCACTCAGACTTGCTGAAGCTTATTTATTGTCTGACTTGATGATTTCCAGAGGAGGCCCCAGTGATCTTTTCCCTGTACAAGGATTGTTCCCATGAGAGGCCATGTGCTGGGCACTAAGGTGGTTAAGTCTCTCTCTCTTTCTCTCTTTTCCTCTCTCCCTCCCTCGCCTCTTTTGACCCAGAATGGAGCCATTATGAATAAGGGCACTGGGCGTTGCCTAGAGGTGGAGAACCATGGCCTGGCTGGCATTGACCTCATCCTCCGCAGCTGCACGGGACAGAGGTGGACGATTAAGAATTTCATCAAGTAGTGGGGAGAAGTTGGGGACCCGGAGACTGGCCCCAACTTCCCGTGCTCTGGACCAGATATGCTGGTGGAGAGAACAGCTGGGAGCCAGCTGGCGCTCATGGGCACCCGGGCTTCTCCAGGGCAGCATGGGGCGGGGGGGGTGGATGGAGACACCGTGTCCACCTCAGGCACTCAGCTCCTGCACCCTGGGAAAGCACCCTGCCCCCACTCTTCTCTGGGAACCCAGGCGCTGTGTGTTCTGCAGCCCAGATGTGGACCTGGCACCGAGGATTGAAACACCCATATCTCCGTCGTCACCTTCCCACCAGCTATCAGGACTGGACTGGCAGTGGCCTCTCCTCTTTCTCATCTCTTACAGCAGCAGCTTCTAATTTCACCCCAGCCCTCAAATAAAGTGAGGGAAGAGCTCAGCCACATCCTAGCTCTTCCTGCTCAGAGGAGACAGTGAGGCCCTGAGACTCAGTTTCCCCTGAGGTTGCCTCTGCCCAGATGTCCATTCACAACCAAGGCAGCCTCCAGCCCAAACCTATTCATTAGGTGGCACTGGGGGAGGTCACAGCTCTGGATTTTTCTGATTCCACCCCTGAATGGCCTGGAGCTGACACCTCCATGGTCACCTGCGCATTGCCTAGGCTCCTGTGTTCCTGGGCTACCTCTTTTTGCCTGTGTCTGGAGAGCTGAGACAGGAATCGGCTGAGCACACAGAGTAGGCTAAGCTGTGAAGGACCCAGGCTGGATCCAGACCAGTGCCACTTCGCCTGCCCAGGGAACAGGGAGCCCTGACCCAGAGGTTGCTGCAGGGGGAGCACCGAGGGGACTGGAGCTTCCAGTCTGGAGCCAACACAGCAAAGGGGGCCAGGACCCTGGGGTCTGCTCTGTGCTCATCTCATTTCAGCCCACGCTCTACTGGCTGACAGGGGAGAAGGCAGTCGATTCCTCTCTGAAGAGTAATAATTTTTTTTTGATTGCCCTCTGGTTAGGGTGCACATATAAATCAGAGTTAATATATGGACCTGTGTGCATGCATATGATGAGTATGGGTGCCTGTGTGGTGCTCGTGGCAGGGTGTGTGCAGCTGCATGTGCGTGTGTGCATGTGTGACGCCACGTGGCATGTGCGTCTGGGTGTGTGTGTGTGTGGTAGAGCAGACGTAGAAGTATGGCTTTGGGCTTGCGCTTCATCGCTCACCTGGATCAGGACAAGGCTGCTGAGAAGCTTGGGTGGGGGTGGGGGTGGCCACACATCTGGCCAGAAGGATGTGGCTCAGTCTTGCCCTTGTGGTGCCCAGACAGAAGGCTGTCCTTCTGCCAGTCCCCATTCCTCTCCCTAATGCTGTCCCCAAAGGCCAAGCCCTGCCCAGAGCCAAACCCAGTAGTTGTCCAGTTTAGGGTTCATATGTCTCATTTGGTGGCATCTTGTTGGTGATCAGCCCACTCCATCTCCCCCCTTGTGAAATAAATACATGTGAGCACTTCCCAAAGCAGCCTTGTTTGCTTCTTGATTTCTCCAGAATCTGGAATTCGGGGAGTTCCTGGGATATGGTGGAGGGATCCTTTAGTTTGGGGGTTTGATCTTATTGCAGGCAAAAACCCTCACAGCCTGGAGCTGACACAAATTCAGCCTGCCCTTGAGATGGCCTTTGCCTCGATCCCAAAGCGGGGCAAGCTGGCCGCGGGTAGTGGCTTACTAGAACTTCTAAGGAAGAGGAGGGTTGGGTGACCTGGCTGAGCCATCCAGATCCGTCCCCTCCTGCTGCCAGACGTCACCTCCCACCTCTGGAGACCATGGAGTCATGGTGGGAGCATCAGGCCTTCTGTTCATGGAATAGGGAAATCTGAAGAGCCGCCAGGCCTTCTGTCCTGGAAATGCTTATGGAAGAAATGGGAGGTCCCTAGGCTGGGACATCCTGCTCCTCTTTCCCTTGAGGAGGCCAGGAAGGCCCATCTCCTTTGGTGTCACACGACACACAGACATGCTGACAAGTTGCCATTTTTCTGTTGGTCCTACAAGAATCGGGGTCCACAGGCACATTGCTGGAAAATGCTGTTGGTTAGTAATGAATCCATCAAACTTAAATATTAGAGTATTGCTGTGAAGTGAAAAGGATGAAGATCCCTGGGTCCCAGTCAGGTCCTGGAGATGCTGAGGTCATATCACAAGGTGGTGCTTGGGGAAGAGTCCTGCCCTGACGGAGCCATTCTCACTCCTCTGTGGGTATTACTGTGGAATTTCAAGGACAGCATCATCCTCTATTACCATTAGCTGGGACTGAGCCCAAATCTCTGTGAGGGTCTTAGTGGGCCCCATGGGATTCTTCCTCCAACAGGAAATGGGCCAAGACTGCTTCAGACCAAAGAAACCCAAGGACCTGTTCTGTCCTCCACAAGGTCCAAAGCCAGGTCCAACTAATGGAATGGGAGCCCAGACCTCAGCACTCGGCATGCTCACGGCACATCAGATTCATCTGGCTCCAAGGCTCACCCCAAATTACAACAGCAGGAAGTGCCTGGGACTCCCAAGAGAAACACTGCTCTTGAATGTCACCAGCAACAGGACAGGATGTTTGGGTGGCCTCCTAGTTTGGGGGAGATGGTTCAGGGCCAGGGGAGGCTTTTGCCTCCAGGCACCAGTACGTACTCCTGCCCTTGGTTCAGCATCCAAGGAGCCTGGGCTGTCTGTTCATATCGGCACAGGCTGTCAGCACTCACACCTGGGCTTCTCCCAAAGGTGAGGCCACCTGGGAAACTGGCCAGAGCATGAGGCCAGTATCCCCAGTCAGCACCCTCTGCCCTGAAGGTTCCCAGTGATCCCAGAGGCTGTGGGGTAGCAGGCCACAAGCCAAAGCAGAGAAGAGGAACTAATGAAACCAGAGGTGGAGGAAAGAAAAGAAGAGAAGCAGGGCCCTGAGGGAATCTGGGGTCCCTGGTCCTTTGTGGGAATTGGGAAGTTCCAGAGACTGTGGGCAGCAGGCTCTAAGTTTGGGGTCTAAGGAAATCATTTACTTCTTTTTTTTTATTATTGATTTTTTACAGAGAGGAAGAGAGAGGGATAGAGAGAAACATCGATGAGAGAGAGTCATCGATCAGCTGCCTCTTGCACAACCCTTACCGGGGATGTGCCCGCAACCAATGTACATGCCCTTGACCAGAATCGAACCTGGGACCTTTCAGTCTGCAGACCAACACTCTATCCACTAAACCAAACCGGCTTTGGCATCATTTATTTCTTGTTTGGAAGTCAGCACCATCCGTAGTATGAGAAGGGACAGGTTAGTCTACCTCACTCACAGCTGCACAGGTGACGCTGCAGAGGCAGCTGAGTTCTGACGGCCTTTGCTTGTCTCAGGCTGTCCCTCATCCCATCACCCTGCCCCTCCCAACCACTTCCCACTACCCTGTCTGGTGACTATTTCTTTCTCTTTTCTCTTTTTCCCCCCCTCAATGTATAGGACAAAAAAATATCACAGATGGCATTCCTGAGTCAGGCCCAAACTACCACAGCCAATGGCTTTGAATCTATATGTGCTATTTCTCCAATGAGTTTTTATACTCACTCCGGTGGCTAGAAAAGGGGGAAAATAGGAAAGGCTGGGAAAGCACAATTTGAGCCTGCAGCCATCAACATCAACCGCTCTAAGCCTCTTCACTTGGTCTTCTGAAATCATTTTTTTAAAAATATATATTTTATTGATTTTTTTATAGAGGAAGGGAGAGAGACAGAGAGCCAGAAACGTCGATGAGAGAGAAACATCGACCAGCCGCCTCCTGCACATCCCCTACCGAGGATGTGCCCGCAGCCAACATACATGCCCTTGACTGGAATCGAACCCGGGACCTTTCAGTCCACAGACCGATGCTCTACCACTGAGCCAAACCGGTTTCGGCTGAAATCATTTTTTATTCAGCTGCTGTTTTTTCCACCGTTCTTGAAAAGTGTCCCCATTTCACAAGGGGCAGGAGTCAGGCCCGGGCAGTGCTGGACTCTCCCAGAGCTGGGGATGAGGGAGCTGTCCCTGATTGGCGTGCTGTTCTCCTCCCCCCACACTGCTCTCAGAAGGGCCGTGGGACAGCTGGCCGGGGCGGGGATGGGCGTGGGAGGCCCTGGAGCCTGGTCGGGAACCAGGTGGCCAATCTGGGACCTGCCAGGTGGCTGCCTCAGGTGCCAGCCCTGCTCATGGCCAGCATTTCAGCCTCTTGCTTTGATTTGAGCTCCAGGTCAGCAGCTGGGCGGGCAGATCATCTGCTCCTAATCTGCTGCCCCTTCCTTTCTGGAATCACGAAGCTGAGTTCTTGGCCGCACTGCCACTTATCAGGCAAGTTTCCTAGACCTGAGTATGGGGATCACACTCTAGAGGTACATTCAGTTCAGCTCGACAAGTACATTTGGACACATATCCTGTGGTTTGCTTCTTAGAAGGCAGGGAGAGGCAGGAAGAAGGAGCTAATGGACATTGACCAAGTGCGTGATGAATATCATGACCTTTGGCCTTTGAAGCTTATTTTGAGAGAAGGGAATAGACACAATATTTTGGGCCTCCCCACCCCTGGAGCCTGGGCAGTCACGAAATGGGGTCTACACCTATTGGCATAAATGGGAGGGGTCTTAGCATATTTGCAGATTCCAGCGTTCTTTCCCCAAAGAGGCCCTGGCTGATGGCTGGGCCTCCCAGTGTAGCTCTCAGCTTGGCTGCTGCCCATTGCCACAGGCTCCCAGCACTGCCCACGCACAGAGAGCCAAGCTGGGGAATGAGACTGCCAGGCAGGACCACGATGCTGACACGCAGACTGCTAGGCCTCGCCAGCTGGTGTCAGCATCTTTAACCAGTGGTCAGGGGGTCATATTGCTCCAGGATCAATACAACTAATCCACTGTCCCACTGGATGCCCGCCTACCTGTCCAGGTAAGCAGCCCATATCTGCTTGCTCAAGTCTAGAGACAGCTTATTCCAGGACAGAAAACTTGCTGACAGTGAGCCAAGCAAAGGCCACGTCTCAGCAACTTCTTCCCAGCATCCTTCCCTCTGGAGCTCTGCACACAGGATCAGCTTCCGGGCACATCGGCCATGTGTTCACATGGGCCGTGTGGTTCACATCGGCCGTGCACCTGAAAGTCCGTGCCCACCTTGCAGCTTGGGCACCACTGGTTCTGAGAGAAACAACCTCTATCCCATAGGTAGCAAGTGTATTGGTGGACAGAGTTCATTCCCAGAGAAACGGATACCTTTCCTGACTAGGGAAGCCATGTCCCCATTGGTCACAGGAGTGGGGCATATATTGTGGAAAATGCCTATGTGCAATTTCTTAGGAAAAGTCATAGATGGAGTCCTTCTAAAGAAAAAGAAAGCATCCCTCAGAGACCTGAAGGGCTGAACTAAATTATTTTTCAATTTAGAGTTCCTCAAATATGTATAAATGTAAAATGGCTTTTGCTCAAGGGCCCATTACAACTATGAACTCAAAAGAAATGTACGAGTCAATACAAAGAAATCTCCAAAGTCAATAAGACTTAAGTTAACAACATTGATTTAAACTGGTGGCAGTGCTGCTAACTGAGCGAAATGGCTGCTGCACCGGATGTGGAGATGGCACCGCTTCCCCCGGGGGCCTTCTGTGCCTGCTGCTGGCCTGGCCTCAGATGCTGAGGCTTCCACAGAAACTGCTCCAGGAACGGCACTTAAAATCTTGTCATGAAGAAAACCAGAGACTGACCTGCTGCTCAGCGTTTACATTTACCCCAGACCTTTTGCCCTTGCAAACCTGTGAGGGGAGATGAACCTTCCCCGTCCTCACCCAGGTCACCAGAACACGCTTTTGGTGCCCGAGTTGACTCTCTCTGAGTCACTGGAAGTCCCGACCTCTCCAATTCAGAGTTCCTGACACTTGAGTTGATGTCACCCGTGTCTTTGCTCAAACGAGTAAGGTTTAAAAAATGAAGAGTTTGCACACAAAGCTGTTTAACTGCATGGTTTCTAGGTGCCTGGGAGGCACCCTTTGACCTGCATCGTACCTCTCTGCTATTTTAAGGTGACTAGATGTTCTGCTTTTGGCGGGTCCAGGTTTTTAACAATTTGCCCCGCGTCCCGCAGCATTTTAAAAGAATTTTTAAATCGGGACTTCTTTAAAACTCTACGGGACGCAGGACAAATTGTTAAAAATCGGGACTGTCCCACCAAAAGCGGGACGTCTGGTCACCTTATACTATTTGTACCCACTTCTTAGCTGTTCTTTCAAGAGGCTCCCCAACCTGGTGCCAAGGCAGAAACCAGAGGGTAGTCCTGGGCCCATGTGCACTGAAACTGTATTTCCTTGCCACCATTTTATCATTTAGCTGCTCTCTGCACCAACAGGCCCGGCCGTAACTTAGGACAAATTTGCCTAAATGAACGAGGTGCCCAGCGCTTCTCAGGGCTCCTTCTAGAGTTCTTTTAGAGAGTGTGGGGTTGCTGTGCTGGCCCCCGAAGTGAACCTGCGTTCTCCCTGG